CTCCCTCAGGTCACTCAGGGACCCTATGAAGGAACAGTGCCATCTAGAACACTGTCAGTGGATGAGCAGAGGAAACAGTCCTGGAGAGTCTCCCACTGGCCTCCAAATGCTGCAGTTTTGAAATGACACACATGGCTTCTGCTCATGCATCAGATAGGGTGTTATGACCCCACTCAAACACAAAGGGACCAGAAAATTTGGGCTAACAGTGCTAAAAAGTGCTATAGCTGTTCTCATTGTCACGTGTCCATTTTAAACCTAATCCCTGGCAGGCAGTCTAGGATAGTCAGGACTGGTTTATAGCAACATTTGGAAGGTGTGAGTGGTGACTGAGGTAGCATAGAAACCTCCACAGCCTGTGAATGGAGCTGAGATAGTGGGACACTGTGGGAATTCTCTGACAGTCTTATGCCACTAGGAGACTCTGAGTCAGGTTTGCTTTGCCTCTCTTTCCATTCTTCCTTCTTCCTTCCTTCATTTTTTTAGAGTGAAGTTCTTATTAATTGATAATGTACATATAGAGAATTATGTGGATAATAAGGGGGCAGCTTGTGAAGTTCTACAATATGAGCATGACCCAGTAAGTACCCTTTTTCTTCTTCTTCTTCTTCTTCTTCTTCTTCTTCTTCTTCTTCTTCTTCTTCTTCTTCTTCTTCTTCTTCTTCTTCTTCTTCTTCTTCTTTTTCTTCTTCTTCTTCTTCTCCTCCTCCTCCTCCTCCTCCTTCTTCTTTTTTAAAACAGACTCAATTCACCTTATTTTTCTTAAATAAAAATATGATGGCCACAGCTGGAGCCTGGGTCCTCTGAACAGAGACTCTGGTATGGGTTTTCAAAAGATGGTCAGTGAATTCTTGATAAGGAGACTTGGTGAACAGTCTCTTTCCAGAGATTGGAGGTCAGGTAGCTGTGGTTCTTAGAGACAGCATCAATGGTGGCCTTGGAAAAGTTTTCCAGGGTGGCAGTGCAGACCCTGGTTGATGTGTAGTCATCAATACTGGGCATCATCAGTAGCTTCTTGGGCACAGGGGCAGAGACGATGCCAGTGCATTGCGGGCAGGGATGAGATGCACCAATACAGAGCCACAATGGCCTGCTACTTTACATGGAACAGTGTGGGGCTTGCCAATCTTGTTCCCCTAGTAGGCTCTCCACACAGGGACAATGGAGCCTTGGCCAAGATGATGGCCCCTTGATGGCAATGGCTACTTCCTTGGAGCTATCAACACCAAGACCAACATGACCATTTGTGGTCCCCAATAGTGACAAAAGCTTTGAAGCTGGTCTGCTGCCCAGCCCGAGTCTGTTCTGCACTGGCACAAACTTTAGAACCTCATCCTTTAGGGATGCACCCAGGAAAAAAAAATCAATAATCTCAGATTCCTTAATGAGAAGGGAGAACAGGTAGATTTCCTCCAGGGACTTGATCTTCATGTCCTTAACTAGCTAGGCCAGCTTGGTGGATCCACTCCTTGTCTTTGGCTTTACCTCCACAAGCTCCAAGGCCTCAACCATGGCCACAGTCTCGACCACTGTGGGGGTGCCCCAAACAGCTTGGCCATACAAATGTCATGACAGCCTTATGCCCAGACACAGCTTCTGTAACAGGCTTACTGGCAGGTAATACCAGGATCCAGAAAAAGCCATGAGCTGACCCCACCAGGAAGGGCCTGCATCTAAGGGGAAATACCTGACATTCCAAATATTCCCTATACCCTCAAACAAATGTCAGTCAATCAGGGTCCTGAACCCTGGAAATCCCCTCACCCCAACCTCTGCTATGATAAAAACCCCATCCTGCCTGGGCTTGGGGCTCTCTTCTCTCACCACTGCATTGGACCGAGAGTCCAAGCTCTAAGCTTGAAATAAAGACTCTTTGCTCTTACATATGGGATTCAGTCTCCACTGGTGGTCTTTTGGGGTCCCTGTAATCTTGGCATAACAACCACAACTGCATAATCCTGGGCCCCTGGGTCCTCAGCCCTTCTGCTGCACCGATGTCATCCACCATTTGGTGCTTTTTCAAAGAAGATCTTTTTTTTTGTTTTGTTTTTTGAGACAGGGTTTCTTTGTGTAACAGCCTTGGCTGTCCTGGAACTTGCTCTGTAGAATAGGCTGGCCTCCATCCCACAGAGATTGGCCTACCTCTGCCTCTTGAGTGCTCAGATTAAAGACCTGCACGACCACTGCCTGGCCCCACTCTGATATTTTATCACATAGTCTATGTCATTTCTTTAAAAATGTGTTGTTGCCCCTGCTATCTTTTTTTTTTAAAAAAGGTTTGTTTATTATTTGTATGTTTGCATGTATGGCTGCATGAATTTGTGTGTCATGTACATAGAGGTCAGAAAAGGGTGTCAGATCCCCTGGAACTGGAATTACATACAGTTGTAACCCACTCATCATGGGTGTTGAAAACTGAACTTGGGTTCCAGTTGGAATCAGAGCAAGTTCTCTTAACCATGGTGCCATCTCTCCAGCTTCCTCCCCTGTTATCTTAATGACAAGGCATGGTGAAGTCATGATACCTACTTTGGAGGCATTAGCCCATGGCACTCTCACTTCAAGGCATGCTGAGACAGACATATCCTAGTTGGGTGGTCAGTGAAACTTCTGTGAAGGACAGTGTGGCCAATTGATGGCACCTGAAGTGACCCACTTGTGCCTGATCACACCCGCTTTGTGGACTTTCTCCAAAGACCTACACAGAGCTAGCCTCTGTGCTAAGCCCTAATCTTGTAGATTCTCAGAGTTCAGGTCTATAACATATCATGGACGGTCATGACACATCTAAACCCCTGCTATCTGGGCTTTGGTTGGAGGGGCCTCTGGTCCTGTCTATGACCCCAGTGTGTGGCTGTGGTTATCTTGGAACTTAGGGAACATTCTTAGGATGGCAGGGACAACTGTTCTCAGAAAAAAGAATGAAAACAGAAAATTTAATGAATATCTACTTGGGCTTGACCCTGTTCCTTCCTCTTTGTCTTCTGTGCTGGGGGTGGAACCCATAATCTTGCCACATTCCCAGCTTTTGGTTTTCAGAAACAGCATCTCGCTATGTAGCCCAAGCTGGCCTTGAGCGCATACTCTCAGTCTGTCAAGCTTTGGGATTACAAGCATGCCCCACACCACAGGCTCACAGACGTGAATGGTTTATGAAGGTTGTGTTAATTGAAAGAATGTAGATGTTAGGGTCCATGTCCCAGCGGTTCTGGATTATTTTTGGAGATGCAGTGATGCCTGAAATTTGGCATTGTTCTGGGCACTCCCCAGTGATTCTAACTACAGGTCTGAGCTGGGCATGGGTTCTTCCTGAGAGAGGCCAGCCCCACACTTTCTTTTCTTTTCTTTTTTTTCTTTTTGGTTTTTTTGAGACAGAGTTTCTATGTGTTAACAGTCCTGGCTGTCCTGGATCTTGCTCGGTAGACCAGGCTGGCCTCGAACTCACAAAGATCCACTTGCCTCTGTGTGGTGATACATTATATTCCCCCCAAAATATTGTACACTCTAATAAACTTATCTGGGGTCAGAGAACAGAACAATATTAAACATAGAGGTTAGGCAGTGGTAGCACACACCTTTAATCCTATTACTTGGGAGGCAGAGTTTAAAGCCACACTGGAAACAGCCAGACATGGTGACTCACGCCTTTAATCCCATAAAGTGAGCCTTTAATCCTAGGAAGTGATGGCAGAAAGCAGAAAGGTATATAAGGCATGAAAACCAGGAACTGGCTGGTTAAGCATTCAGACTTTCGAGAAGCAGTTCAGCTGAGATTCATTTGCATAAGGACTCAGGCTTCCAATCTGAGGAAACAGGATCAGCTGAGGAACTGGGGAGGTGAGGAAGCTGTGGCTTGTTCTGCTTCTCTGACCTTCCAGCATTCACCCCAATACCCAGCTCCAAGTTTGATTTTATTAATAAGACCTTCTAAGATTCGTGCTACACCTCTGCCTCCCAAGTGCTGGGATTAAAGGTGTGTGCCGCAAACGCTGCCACCACCACCCGGCTAGCCCCACACTTTCCTGTGAGCACCATATGTGAATAGAGGGGGTGGAGTGGGACAGTTGCTGCAAGACCCACCCTTTGCCCATGAATGAGAATAGATTGGCCATTGAATGTCAGTTTCCAAGAGAAAGGGACAGGCTGAGTTAGAGGGGATGGTAAGGTCTCCCTAAAATGTGACATCCAGCATCCATTCCTCTGAGGCACTGACAGAAGCTAGACAGACTGCTGAACACTGAATACTTGTGTTCCCTCAAAACTCACATGTCAAAGCCAATCCCCAAATGTGACAATTGACTGGTTACTTTTATGTGATTGTGACCAGATACCTGACAGAAACACTTGAAGGGAGGGATGGTTTGTTTCAGCTCATGAAACATTTATTTCACATTTTACATTTATTTCACAGCAATGTAGTGGGGAGAAGGGGCAGCTTGGTGTGTGTGGTGGGAGCTTGTGGCTGTTACTTCACATGGTGTAGACCTGGATGCAGACAGCACAAGATGGAAGCAAAGCCAGGCTATAAAGCTCAGATCTCCTAAAATAGCAGCTCCACCTGGGAACTGGTAATCAAACACACGAGTCCACGGGTGAATTGCAAGACTCAAACTGACAGATGGTGTTAGGAGACTTGGTTGTTTGTAGTGCTTCATGCGCGGATACTCAGCTGAGGCAGGAGTATTGACACTAGTTTCAGGCCATTTTGGATTGCATAGCAAGTTACAAGTCCAGTCAGAGTTCCACTGCAAAACCCTGTCTCAAAAACAAACAACAACAAATGAGGGGGTAGTGCCTTTAGGAGTGACTGGGCTGTGACTGGTGAGCACTGTGTCCTTTTGGAAGAGTTCTCAGAGACCACATTGGCCCTTGGCCATGTGAGATCTCAGCCAGACAGCTATCTTAAAAAAAATGTGGCCCTACTCAACATCAAATCTTTTTAAACTTTGACCTTGGACTTGCCAGCATCCAGAGACATGCAAAAGTCTTTTATAAGCTACCTGATCTGTGATCCTTTTGTGACAGCATCTTGAAGAGATGAAGACATAGGCCCATGGCAGGAAGAAACCCCAGGCTCATCTTTGGAGCCAAGCTGAAGCTGGTGTCGCTGAAGTAAGATGACCAGTCACCCTGGTTGGTTCAGGACTCTGGCAACCCTGATCACTTCGGCAGCTTCACCTGAGCCAAAGGACAAAAGGAAGCCTGGCATGAGGAAGGGAGAGAAGGCACTGAGCCAGATGTGCAGACCTGTGGGATTTGGTGGAGAAGCACTTTCGTTGTTTGCCCCAAAGGGGAACATGGCCACATGTGTTTTGAGGGGCAGCTCAGACTGCTTCAGAAAGAAAAGAGCCAGCATAGGACTGAGCTGCGACGAGATTCCAGACTCAGCTTGAGATGCCCTACTCCAGGAGCCCCTGAGCCCCTCTGTCTTCATTATTTAAAGTTATGCTCATGTTTTACTCAAGATAGCCAAGGAGGGTCTGCCACCATAAAAAGCTCCTGGAATGGGGCCCAGGTGGCTGCCAGGGCCTCCACAGAGTAACATAAGCTTCAGTGAGTGGACTGTAACTGTATGTTACATTAATTAGGCTGCTGGATAATAGAGTTTTCAATGGTTATTGCAGTCTGTAAATCCTGTAGCAAACACAGGTAGGAGCCTGGAGCTGGGAGAGGTTCCTGCTTTGCAGAAAATAGTCTTGGTTCTTTCTTGTCAATGGGGGTTTAAACTCAGGGTGAGTTTAAGTTCTAGAGACACAGATGATCTGGGGGAGAGAGGTCCAGCCATGTGACCCACCCGCTGTTACATTGGTTCTAGGTAGATGTATTTGTGTCCTCAACTAGCAAATGGGCTACCAGTATGGATTTCTTAGGGCCGCTGGAGTTTGCTGTGACAGGGACAGCTTTGGAAAGTGCCTGGTCCCTGGTTTGGAAGATAGTGCTATAGATCCACAACTCTGGGGTGAAGCCACACACAAGAACTTTATCCCTTACACACTTCACTCATAGTTTTTATTTTAAAAATGATGCTGAGATACCAGGAGGACCATGGTGGCTTGCCTAAAGTCACAAAAACAAGACAGGCAAGGACCGACATTTCTGGTACCACTCAGCTGGGCCCACCTTGATTCTGATCTTTGGGACCTAACAGGCTTCTCCTGCCTCCCTTTCTACACCCCTTTTCTCTGAGCCTTTTGGTTGCAGGCCTGTCCCCACTCCTTCAGTCCTGATGGTAGTAGGCCCCAGATTCTCTATCCAGCAGCCTATAATGCATGTCTGCCCTAGTAAGCCCATCCTCCTTTGGGCTACCTGGTTGTGAGTACAGGAGGTTTAAAGAGGCAGAGATTGCTTCTGAATCTAGCTCATGAGTGTTAATTTCATGCCTCATAACTATTTCTAAGATGGCTGTGATGGAATATGCTTATAATCCTAGCATTTGGGAAGATGAGACAGGGAGAGCTAGCATTCCCCAAACAGTCTGATCTATATAGTAAGTTTCAGGCCAGCCTGGGCTATCAAGGGGAGATCCTATTTACAGAAAATAAAATCAAAACCAATCAACAAACAGGCAAAAATCAAAAAAGACTGGGAGTATAGGTCATGGGTACAGTGTTCACCTTTAGGATTCAAGGCTGTGGGTTTAGTCTCCAGCACTGCAAACAAACAAAGAAAACCATGATTCTGTGTGCTTCTGTATTGGCTAGTTTGTGTGTCAACTTGACACAAGTTGAGTCATTTTAGAAGAAGAGGCTTTGGCTGAGGAAATGCCTCCATGAAATCTGATGTAAGGAATTTTCTCAATTAGTGATCAATGTGGGATGACCCAGCTCATTGTGGGTGGTGCCATCCCTGGGCTGGTCTTCCAGGGTTCCATAAGAAAACAGGCTGAATAAGCCAGAGGAAGCAAGCCAGTAAGCAGCACCCCTCCATGACCTCTGCATCAGCTCCTGCCTCCAGGTCTCCTGCCTTGTTTGAGTACCTGTTCTGAATTCCTTCAGTGTTGAACAGCAAAATATAAGTGTAAGCCAAATTAACCCTTTCTTCCCCAACTTGCCTTTTGGTCATGGTGTTCTGTTGCAGAAAAGAAACCCTAACTAAGACAGCCTCCAATGCTAACCCTGGTCTAGGCTACAGATATCCATCCCTCAGAGGTGTAGCACCTCCTCACTGGTCTTTTATGGTCCTTGTCCTGGTCTCTCTGGTCCACCCCTCCACTCTTGTTCACTTTTCCCTGGTTTCTTCCCAGCCCACTCACAGCCTGAAGCTTCCCATTGCACCTTATCTGTGTACCTCGTAGGTCCTACCCCATGCCAGTTTTCCTGCCTGCCTTACTCTAGTGTAGATGTCTGGCCACATCTTAAGGTCGGTTCCCACAGGACATAGGCATGTCTCTTCCCTGTCCCACTCCATAGTCTCATGGTCCCATCTCTACTAGTCACTGCCTCACTCATTAAGTTGGGGATGACCTATGGGGTGGGGACCAGCAGATTCAAGGCAACCATACCCTAGTGAATGAGACATTGTTGAACTCCTGGTCTCCACAGGTCCAGGGTAGAGAAAGAGCCAATATTCTGAGAGGTGGCAGGATATCATGTATTTGGGGAACAAAATGCATTCCTTTGGACTTGGTGTTTTCTTGCTTTAAAATTGCAGTTCTTAGGCAAAGGCCCTTAGTAGCTTGGGCCCTAACATGTGGGATAAGATAACCAGGGCAATGGTTTAATTATTTCAGATATCTGCTAAGCCTGGTCTTAGTAGGATTATTCATGGTTCTTCTACAGTATCTCGGAACCTAGGTAAGTACTCTATCTGTAGACTATAAAGCTATTATTATTATTACTACTACTACTATTATTATTGCACAGCACTAGCCTCTGAGCCAAAGTGCACCCATCTTCAGGAGTTCAACTGGGTTTGCTCTCCAAAGTTCATCACAGCTGGCCTATTGGCTGTTGATGTTACCTCTAGGAAGGAGGGGCTAAGATGGGATCCTCATCTGACTATCCACATCTTCTTTAGTAGTTGTCTGTAACTCTTCCCTACATCATATGGACACAGGGTCTCTGAAAATGGCTAGAGGATGCATGTACTCTTAGATGTATCCTATAGGTAGGGAAGGAGTCAGGAGAAAGGCTGTCCTGGTTGTTTTTTTTTTTTTTCAACTTAACACAAGCTATAATTATCTGGGAAGAGGAACCTCAGTTGAAAAAACATGCTTCCATTGGATTGTCTGTAGGGCATTTTCTTTCCTTTTTTTTTTTTTTTTCCGAGACAGGGTTTCTCTTTGTAGCTTTGCACCGTTCCTGGAACTCACTTGGTAGCCCAGGCTGGCCTCGAATTCACAGAGATCCGCCTGGCTCTGCCTCCCGAGTGCTGGGATTAAAGGCGTGCGCCACCACTGCCCGGCCTTCTTTCCTTTTTTAAAAAAAAGATTTATTTATTTATTATGTATACAATACACTCTTCTTCCTGCATGCTAGAAGAGGGCACCAGATCTCATTACAGATGGTTGTGAACCACCATGTGGTTGCTGGGAATTGAACTCAGGACCTCTAGAAGAGCAGCCAGTGCTCTTAACCTCTGAGCCATCTCTCCAGCCCGGCATTTTCTTTCTTAAAGATTGATGTGGGAGGGTCTAGTTTACTGAGGGTGGTACCACTCCTGGCCAGCTGTTCCTGGATGGTATAAGAAAGCAGGGTAAGCAATCTATGAGGAATAAGTCAGTAAGCAACATTCTTTTCTGCTTCCCTGCTTTTGTTCCTGCCCTGACTTCTCTTCATGATAAACGACGACCTAATGTGGGTTGTTTTAGTTAGTGTTTCTATTTCAGCAACAAAACACCATGACCCAAAGCAAGTTGAGGATAAAAGGGTTTAATTGGCTTGTACTTCTATATTGACATTCATCATTGAAGGAATTCAGGACAAGAACTCACACATGGCAGGCATCTGAAGGCAGGAGTTGATGCAGAGGTGATGGAAAAGGAGGACTTACTTGGCTTCTGCATACTTACAGAAGTCAAGACCACAAGTCCAGGGATGGCACCACCCACAGTGGGCTGGGCTCTCCCACATCAATCACTCATTAAGAAATTGTCTTGCAGCTGGATCTTATGGAGGCATTTTCAATTCATGTTTCCTCCTTTCAGATGACTCTGGCTTGTGTCAAGTTGACATAAGACTAGCCAGCATAGGAGTGAAATTAAACCTTCCCTTTCCCAAGGTGCTTTTAGTCATGGTGTTTTATCAGAGCAATAGAAACCTAAGAAGACAAGGGGACTCCATGCCCATAGCTACAGAGGAGTTCTCATCCATATTGGATGCAGACCTTCCAGTGTGGCTGCTTTGAAGTCAGCCATTGCTCTGTAAGTATGTCTGCCAACTCACTGGTTCCCCAGAGTAAACTCTGGTCGAATCACGTCTTGCTTTGTTGTTGGCACCTTAGGAGGAGGAGGAGATAGACATTATCTACATCTGATTGGAAGGAACTATAGCAAAAAAACTGTAACTTTCTTTTTCCTTTTCCTTTTAACAGAACAGTGTTGAAGTCTTCCAGGCTGGCTTTGAGCTCTTGTGGTATCATAGGCTGGCCTTTCACGTGTGATCCTCCTCCCTAATCCTCCTCCAGGCATGAATTACCTGGTCTGGTTAACATTTTTTATTCAAGTATGTATACATTTTCTTGTGGTTACAAAATGCTTGACAGAAGCAACTTAAGCTGGAAAGGATGCTTTGTCTCACAGTTTCAGAGGGCTCTGTCCATCATGGCAGGAAAGGCTTGCTGTTTGTTCCAATGGAGACAGGCGGGAGCCAGAGAAAGCACAACCATTAAGTTTATAATTCTTTGATTACTGGTCAGTACATATACCCATGTTTTCAGCTCCTGGACTGTAGTACTGTGCCTTCCGTGGGGCTAGGTCTGAAGGCAACCTTTCAGGCCCCAAGCAGGAAGGGCATGGCAGAGGCTGACCCTGGGTCTTTGGGGCTGCTGCTCTTGGCTTGCCCTTGTCACTCCCTCTGCTGAGGGCAGGGATGCACCCCTATTTCCAAGCAGTGGCATCTTGAAGGAGCCCCATTTGTTCTTGTGATTTGCAATGTTGAAAGTCCTGCCATGTCAATTCCGTGCTGCCACCACAAACATGGTGTCAGGAAGAGATGCATGCATCTGTAGAATGAGTTTATGTGGCCTGTGTTGTCATGGAATACAGTATAATCATATACTGGTGGGGGAGACTGAGGCAGTCAACGGCATTGCACCTCATGATCCCTGCAAGGGAAGCTTTCTGTGGACAGAGGTGTGGGGGCCCAAATTACTCAAGGTCAGAGAGTCTGAGCTTGCTTTACCCAGCAGGGCTGCATAATGGGATGATTTGGCTATGGGCATGGTTACCAGGTATTTTGAAGGGTCTACACTTGGCTGTACATTATGCTTTGGTCTTGATAGGGGAGGTCTTTTGCCTTGCCCCTTGGCACTGCACAAAAAGCCCTTTGGAATAAACCTCAAGGTGACTGGGTATTGGCCAAGGGCCCTCCCAAAGCTATCCTGTGTCTCTCTTACTTATTGTCTCTTTCTATCTTTATAATTTCCTCATTCCTCTCTCCTTCCCCCAAGAACTCTTTGAAAGATGGGAGTAGGTCAGAGCTGGACTCTGGAAGACTCCCACACAGAGGGCCACTGGAAGCATTATATGTGATGATTTCTTTCTCCCTCACTTTTGGCTGAAAGTCCAATTTTTGTGTGTGTATTAAATGCTTCAGTATTAGACACTGCTCCTTATTCCATCTTCTGTTGTTGAAACTGAGGGCTGAGAGTGAGTTGGGCCTTGACCTCTGATTTCCTGACTCTCAAAGACAACAGCACAGAGGCTCACACTCTGTGCTTCAATGGGTGGAACTAAAAAGGCATAGTAATGCTGGATTGGCTATATGTTCCTGCTGTTTGTGGACTGTGGACTTGTGCTTCTGTGTGTGTTGGGGGCAGGCTCTGATGACACAGGGCAGTTCTGGCACCTGGGCTCTTGCTGGATGCAGTGCCCACTTGTGTGGGAGGGTAGGGCAGCATATGAATCTGCTGTGGACAAGTCACAAGGGCACTGATGGAGTCACTGCTGTCATCATGGCAGCTGTGTGAACCAACGCCCACACATCATAGTCACACCCTTGGCTTGCTCTCTCTCTTTTTAATGGGGCAATACAATATACATTGTGTGCATGTCTGTTTGTGCTGGCTGCTGGCCTGGAACTCACTATTGACTTGAAGTCATGGCTATCTTTCTGCCTCAGCCTCCCAAATGATTGGTTTACTAGTATGAGCCATAATGACTGGATAAGCAACAAATATTTATGAACATGTGTTTTCCTGTGGAGAGGATGGGTCCTAGGGCTTTGAGCATGTTAGGCAAGGCTCTCTACCAGGAGGACTACACTTTGATGTCTTCCTTGTGGTGTTTTTTTGAGACAGATTTTTCTATGCAGCTCAGGCTGGCCTGGAACTCATGATCCTTCTGCCTCAGAGGCTTCCTGAGTGCTGAGATTACAGGTGTGTGCCACCATGACTCCTAAACCCTTTCTATGCAAAGCAGTATTCTGCACCATATGGGGACGTTTAGGTTCTGTTCTAATGGCAAATAGATAGGCAAAGTCCCAGTTGAGAAGGGCTGTGGGACACACAAGAAATGATAGAGGTTGGTGGAGGAGGGGCTGCTGAGCTAGGAAGGTGGGGATGAGCTGGGAAGGCCATGAGGTAACCTTCCATTAGAACAGAGACAAATGCAGAAGATGAGGCTGACATGGGGTTAAACGATGAGGGAAATAATGTTCCACAAAATAATAACTCAAGTGCAAACACTGAGAGTGGAGCAGAGGCACATTTGAGGAGTCTTAGTGGACAAGACTGGGGAGGGGAAGCCTAGGGCCATCATGGAATTCTTGTCTGGAGCATGACTTAACAACAAGTTAGGGGAAGGTTACTTGTGGGTTTTAAGTGGAAGGATGGCATAGACTGAGTCACGTTTCAATGGTCACCTTGTCTGTATGTGCCCAAGTATGGAGTCATGGAAGCCATGGGATAACTGGGGCTGTGACTGGGCAGTTGGTGTATGGGAGGATGAGGTCAAGAGATAGGACTGTGAGAAGAGCTGGGAGGAGAGGAGCCTTGAGTTCCTATGTAAGTTGACACTCAGTAGGACTTCAAGAAAGGTTGGATGAGGTTGTGGACAAAAGAGAGGAAGCAAGACAAAAGCGGACCTTGTCCCTGTGTTACAGAGACAATAAGACAATTCCATGAGGTGGGTGTAGATATACTTATGTGGAGAGGTCAAAGGGTAGTGTTTTCACACCACCATTCACTGAACCTTTACCTTGGGTCAGGTTTGCTCTAGATAATTGGGGATCCAAAATGATCAAAACAGTCTTTGTTCTTGCTGAGCTTTAACTCTAACTTGGGAGAGGAAGACAATGAAATCATACCTCCTCTCTTGTTGACAATATGATTTCGAGAACTTTAGGTCTACCTGGGGCTGTGGCCATGTGATCAGACATGGAGAGAATTTGGAGAGAAGTCCAAAGATGGGGCTGAGGGCAACCCAACATTTCCATGTCTGGGATATGAAGATCCATTGATGGACTCTAAGGAGTGGCCAGGAAGTTGGTGAAGGTTAGGAAGGTGGGGATAAAAGGGTTCCTGGGTGAGGAATAGTTACTTACCCATGTTAAGTGCTGACTGGAGGGAGGTCAGATGAGATAAATATGAAGATTGCCTTCAGCTTTGCAAATATGCATCACTTGAGTGAGCTGGTGAGTGGTTGGTGGAGGCAGAAGCAATGTAGTATTCTACATCTCATCCCATTCAACACACCATCCCAATTAACCTGCTTTATCCTATTCAGTCCCACTGTGCCTGGTCTATGGTCCAATGTCATGACCCTCCCCTCTCTTTTATACCTCTCTCTCTTCCTCCATCCCTTACATTTTCACCATCCTTCCCTTCCACACTTCTCCCTTCCTGGGAGCTCAGCTGATTGGAACACAAAGAGAGAAGATATCTTCTGTAAATGCATATGAAGGCTGAGGCCTTTGCTCATGAGTACCATCTTGGTGGCTGGGAAACATCTTTCTTTGTCACAATCTCTTGAGAAACAAAATGGTGAACCCTCAGGGCCTTGTCCATTCTGGATTTCCTGCTGCTCCAACATTTTTTCTTTTGCAGTCATCTCTGTGTTTGCCTACTTAGCAATGCTTGTCCTTCACAGCTCATGAGAAATTACCAAGAATGTTATTGACTCTAATTTTAATTTGTCTAGTACTCTTGTTAATCATGTCTATTTAAGACCTCCATTAAAGGCCTATGAGGTTGATTAAATAGACAATTCAGTACAGTTCTATTGGAACCCCCTCTATTAAATTAATATTATAGACATTTAACAGATGTCTTAATGAGGCATTGTAGTTAAGGAATGCAAACTAAATTAACACAAAAGCCATTGTCCAGAAAGTGTGCCTTTTACCTTAATTGATGGATTTGGGGAAGAATCTTCATGTTTATTCTTCAGAACCTGAGAGACTGGTCATTGGGTGATCCTTTTCAGCATTCAGAAAAGCCTGGCTCAAGCCTGGTCAAATCAGACATCAGGACTGGAAGAGACTTAGATGCCATCTGGAATGTACCATCTTCAAATACTGGTGAATGGAGGAAGCAGGTGGGGTGTTACACAAACATACAGATTCCACTCCTGGAGTCTGACTCAGTATGGCTGAAGTGTGTAGTGGGTAGCCATTCCAGCTTTGATCTGGAAGTTCCAACCCCCATTGAAGCTTCAGTAACTGTCACGCCTACAAGGCAGGGCCGAGAGAGGACCCTGAAGACCTGAGATCCGGATGCGCCAGCTCTCTTGGTTTCTGGACCCTGGACACTGGAGGAAGACCGAGCAGAGTTCTCCAGAGAACACCCCCGGACTACGCTACACCTTTCCCAGACCCTGTTACCTATCCCTTCACTTGTAAATTACCCCATACAATAAACCTCCCTTTTAACTATGTGGAGTGGCCTTAATAATTTCACCAATAGAAGTGCAGCATAGGATCAGCTGCTGCAGACATATGCCTGCTTATTCCGGTGCAGGAATCCCAGGAGCCTGATTTTGGAGGCCTTCATGCAGTCAAGTTATCCCATTTGACAGAGAGCAGCTTGGAGACCCTGAAAGATTTCAGGTGTTCATAAACTGATCAGAATTTTGTATCCTGCTCCATGATTTTGAAAGTTAGTAGAAGTTCCTGCTATCTCACCCCACCACTAATGAGTTGGGTGCAATCTAAGGTATGTCTTATGGAATTGAGACTGGTGGCCACATGTCCCCTTTCCACTTCTCCTGCTTGGTGGGGAGAACAGTAGCAGACCTTTTCAGGCCTTGTTTTGATTTCCTGGGTTCTTTATGTGGTTCTGAACCTGGGTGTGATTAGATTCTTGATATCCCATGGCTCCCCTCAGGGGCCAACTCTGCCCATCCTATATGTTAGACTTTTTGTCCCTGTGATAAAATACCTGACATAAATGACATGAGGAGGGCATTATTTTGGTCTGAGCTTCAGTTATCATGGCAGGGAGGACACAGTGGAAAAGGACATAAAACAGACAAGAAGCAGAGACAGCAAGGATGCCTGTGCTGTAGCAAGCTTTCTTTTCTTGTACCCAGCTCCTGACCCTAGGGAATGAAACTTCCCATGTATAGGGTGGATCTTCTCCTTCAATTAATCTTCTCTGCAAAGCTCTCAGAGCCACAGCAGGAAGTGTACTACTTTTTAAAGCATTTCTCAATCCAGTCATGTTGACATTAACCACCCCATCACTCTACACATCTACAATCAGACTGTGCTGTTCCCAGTGGAACAAGGAGGGAGGAGTTTAGCTGCTGATAACTCCAGGAGTCTTGATACTGTGCATGCGGACAAAATAAAGGAACTTGGAGTCTAGCAGTTAGGTTGAGCTGGCTGGTGGCCCACACATACCATACACCAAAGAAACACCAGAGAAACCCAGGCCATTCTGCGTATGGGGTCCAGAGTGGATATTGCCACCTTCCTGGAAGGTATAGCCAACCTTTTCTAATTAGGAACATTTCACAGTTGTTACTGAGGGGTACACTACCCCTCCTCAAATTCCTATGTTGAAGCTCTAACCTCCAACATGACTATGTTTGGAGATAGGATCTTTAAGGAGGTAACTAAGGATAAATGGGTCATAGGATGAGATGTTAATTCAATGGCCCAGTATCATTATAAGAGACACACTAGAGCTCCCCACTCTTGAGGATAGACCATAGGACAGCGAGAGGTGGCTGTTGACCAGTCAGGAGGAACCCTTAGCACAAACTAATCTCAATAGCATTCTGAGTCCTTTCTTGAGGTGCCAACAGCTTTTAACATTGGCTTCTGGGGCCAATGTTTCTGTAGTGCATGGTTTACATTCAACAGAGCTGGTTGTCACATGTGGCTCTCTACACCCTAAATCTCATTTCTACCATAGTCCTGCTCCTTGGAGACAGAGTCCACGAGTGCCAAGTACCATGAAGGTGTGGGGATTTGGCTAGCCATACTCCATGTAGTACCGAGTGCAGTTTCCCTAGGACCAGTGCCTGGGAGGATGCTGTGGACCTTGTTCCCCTGGGAAGATCAGGGAGACAATAGCAGCACATCCCAGACAAGGCAAAGAGCAGAGACTCTGTGGCAGGTGAGCATCACATTGTCTCCCCTGAGAGAGAGTTTCCTTAGTCAATGGAAACTTGAGTTGGGGCCAGCAGAAAAACGTTTCAGTTGGCAAGTGGCACCAGCAGGTTTTCTGGGAAGCAACTGTGTTTATGCAACATAGTGGGCACTTTACATCACAGAGAGGCAGGGATGAACAGGTCTGCTCCAAATTTGTAACACCCATGCACTTTTGGCTGGCTAGAACAGCAATCTCTACACAGAAGACAGAGTTCCTTGGTAGAGAGCTGGGTAAATAAGGAATATATACATACTTTTAGCAGCCTCCTTTACATCTCTGTAGCTGTCCTGCTGGGAATAACATGATTCTGGACCCAGGCTTTCTGGTTCAAATCTCCCAGTCCATGAGACCTTGGACAATGATCACTTTCAGGCTGAGGGCTCATGTGTGCTCTGAACCTGTGTGGCAAGGACTATGTGATAACATGAGGGTCAGTGCCATGAGGAATGTCTAGATGATATAGATAAAACCAGGGCCTGGATAGTCTCTAGGACTTAGGGGTGCACTTTGATTTCTGGGAGAGAGTAGGCTTTCTGTTTTCCTGTCATATAAAGGACATTAGGCTCACTCATTCCTCTTCCATCCAGTGTAGTCTGAGTGGGAGGCACCAAGGAATTGACCACCAGCACACCGCTTACCTGGGGTGAGTGGGTGGATGGGTTGTCACTTATTATTGACAGGGTGAGTTTCTGAGCTGGCCAGCAGACACTTCTTACAAGCAAGGGACAACTGATGCCTCTGAACCAGGTTTCAAGGACAAGGTCTTCCTAATACTGGCACTGAGTGGCTGGACCCCCCCCCCCCCCCCCCCCATTTCTCATGCTGGCCCTGACCTGCAGTTCCAATGGTCTTGTGCAGAAAGACCTCATCTGGCCTTACACAGTAGAAAAGCTATGATTTCAGCAGCAAAAATGGAACTAAGATGCCAAAGGTATCATTGCTGGATACATTGGCCAATCTATCCAAATAGTAGCCAACAGGTACTGGTAGACCTGCCTCTCTGCTCCATTCTGACTGCTGCAGTGAAGCCCTGAGCCATCTAGCAAGGTCACTATGCCTCCATGTGAGAGCAGCAAACTGTAGGCAGTGCAGAGTTTGGAGCAGGACTGACCTCCAGTCAGAACCATGATGTTCCCACACTGTGAAAGCAATGGGAGGTGGTAGATGGACATGGGATGAGGGAGTCACAAAAGCCCCTTCCCTTTCAACCCAGAAAGTCAAGAAGATTCTTTCATTTGAGCCCATTTATGCCTGTAGTGTATTTTGTTATTAACTGAATAACTGATTCAGCACAGAATGTATGAAACACAGGAAAGTATGAAGGATAGAACCTAACGGCACCCTTCCTCAAATCACCCAGGGTTAGTCCTGGTGCATTTTCTGCTAGTCTTTCCTCCCTGGAGAGGCAAACCTCTACCCCTGACTACTTCTTATATTGCTCAAAGTTCCTCAGCCACTCTGCTTTCCCTGGACTACAGGCGGGCCACAGCCAGAAAGCTTTCATGGAAAAGTGGGTATTTAAAGTATTTCCAGTTCTCAGCTGCCAGCGACTTCTGTCTCCAGTGGCAGAGAGTTCACAGGTCAATCGTTCCCTTTACTTTGAACTTCTTGGCAGACCTCTCACTTGACCGAAGCTGGAATTTGCTTCCATAAATGTAGGAAATAAAGCCATCCATTTCTATGGTGAACACACAATTTAACTTGGGGATAACTGAAAAGAAAAAGGATGAGGAACAACATAGCCAGTGCATTCATTTTCAGGTAGAACATTATTCATACACGTTTGTACAAGGTAAGTGAGATGGCCACTTTATATTGCCAGCACTTATGAGACAAAGGCAGGCAGCAGGCAGATCTCTGAGTTCAAGGCCAGTGTGGTAGACATAGCAAGTTCCGAGCTAGCTGGGATGACATAATGAGACTGTCTTTAAAAAAAAAAAAAGGTGTATAGGAATGAGGAGACCCAAGCCAGAAGTACCCAAGAAGACCTGGGCTATTTGATTCACAGTCTAACTATAACTCAATGCCTAATTTCCAGGTTCTGAGGTGATTAATTCAACTACCAGAAGTTAGGCTCCCAGACCTGTTTCTAGACTGTTTCCCATACAGTTTTGCACTGGTTCTTAGATTCGTGCTCAGTGGGGAAACGTCTACACTACTTTCTTAGGGTTGTAATGTGAGCAGTAGAACATATAGGGAAATGGAAAAACAATGAAGCAGGGCTGTGGGGGTAGCTCAGACCCAGAGCACAGCATTAGCAGAGAGGTCCTTGGCTTGATCTCCAGCATCAACAGATGAATGAGTACAAAACCCTCCAACTGTTGTTTGAACCTTGGATTTGTGGGCAAGGTCAGTTACTGGGATCTTGGAAGATTCAAAAGTACCCACTGGAGCAGGGCTAACCATGTTAAGACACAAGAGTGTATCCAGCAAGGGTACAGTTCTCAGCACTCCAGGGGCAGGCTGTTTTGGGTCCTGCTGCCTGTCTTTCAGTTACTCATTTGAGAGGTGGTGACCTTAGCAGGTAGGGACCTCCAACAGATCTGGGCCCAAGACCCAGCCAAGCAGTTCTTCTGTTCTGTTTATGGACAGGCTGCTGACTGTGTTCATAGATATCTCCTGGGAGCCAGAGGGGCAGGAGCCTCTCTCTGGAGTTCATAACATAGCAAGCACCTGCAGCCTGTTTGACTACACAGCCAAGTGGAACTTGGGAGCCTCAGGAAGGGGGATATATATCCGACACCCTAGGGGCACAACACACACCTTTCAGGTTGTCTTCTTTGGTGATGATCTTGAAGACATGCTTGGTCTCATGCAGAAGGAGTCCTGTGACCCCCACATAGGAGGGGCACTTGGATTTTGTGGCTGCAAAGGAGAGAAGCAGTTGAGGGTAAGGCCTGGGTAGTGCTGGCAGTCTTAGCCTGGCCTTAGGGACTGGGAACCTGGTCCTTCTAAGCTGAGGAAGAGAGTACCTAGAGGATAGTGACTCTGTAGCTGGGCAATGACCAAGCCAGCAAGAGCCCAGGCTTCCCAACTCCTTGTCCTGGGCTTTCAATCTCAGGGATGTTTTCAAATGTCTTTTTGGTTTTGGCCAGGGTTCTGGAGCCAAGAGGTCATACACAGAACCAACAAAGACCAGACTTGTTGCTTTGATGCAGCAAGTGCCATGGGCAGGACATCCATTATCCACTTCTGGGCTCCCTGAACTGTTCCTGGAATGCAGTCCTTTTAGAGGGCTGCGCAGTAATGAGGGGTGAGCCATCTCACAAGCAGTCCCCTATCTGCCTCAAGGAAGTCAGCATTTGGAGCAAACTATGTACCTATGTGGGTGCTGGAGCAGGACACTGAATGAGATGTCTTGTATCCTGCTCCTGTGGAGCTGAAGCTCTCGTGGAGGACAGTGTATAGCAAAACATGGGCAATTCTGTTTCTTCATACTGATAATGGCTATGAGGAAAATAAGAACAGAATAATGAGAGTGAAGAGGAAACTTTAGTGGTGGTAGGCACCCAGGAAGTGACATCAGGAAAGGTACCTGAGTTACAGCAAGAGTCATTCAATGAACCTGCAGAGCCCCCTTGTTGAGAGAAGGACCCAAGCAAAGGTACCTGGTATTCAAGTCACACAGAGGCCACCCAAAGACACCAAAGATTTTTACTCTGAGTGGACCTGAAGCTGCTAGAGGCTTAGAACGGGCAAGCAGCAGTCGGTAGTCTGATGACAGCCTTCATTCTGGGTATTAAATCTAGAGTGTGTGTGGGAATAAAACAGTATGTGAGCTGGGGCAGCTTGAGAAAAACCTTCCACAGAAACTTGAGTGAGTTGGAGGTAGGTTAGATTCAGGAACTAGGTGTGTTAATCGACTTGAGGTGGAGGATTAGGAAAGAGGTAATGTGAATGTACTTCCTTGGTTTCTAGCCTGAACAAACTGGATATGGAGATGTAACAGTATCGGAGATGAGGAATCCAGGTCAGAGAGAGCTGACCTCCAGGGAGACCAAGAGCTCTGTGTTAGATAGGTAGCTTGAGGTGCCTCCTGGATGACCAGATAGCTGTTGGGTGCCACAGGGTGATTGAGTCTGGCAGTCACAGGAAAGGTCTTCGCTGGTAATGGAATACTGGAAACCATGGTGAGTGGGAATCTGTCCCCAACTGTCCCCAACAGTGTGAGCTGATGACATGCAGAGAGCACTTAGTGTGTATTTAATAAGGGTCCAGGATGGGTCAGGTCACATCCATCTTAGATTCTCATTGTTTGTAACATAGAGATACCTCAGGAATGCCAAGTGACAGAAGAGAGGCTGAATACTGCCCCTGAGTAACAGTCCCCATATGCTCTCATAGAAATTAGCTGAAAATAATAGCACTGTGAAGATCTGCGTTTAGGAGCTTGGCCTGAATCATCTATGGCCGCCTAGTAGGTGAATGCCACAAAGACACGTTGGTAACAAAGCAAACAGGATTTCAAACACCCACAGCCAACTGGTTTCTCAGGCTGCATCTCTAGTGCTCTCTAATCCCATGGCAGGCTTCAGAAATAAACTCACGTGTCTGGCTTGAGCCTGTTGCACAGGTCACAAATGTACTGCTTCCAGAGTTCATGCAGAGGGAGTCATAAGTCAGGAACAGGTACAAAGTCAGAAACATGAGCTTGGGATTTCCAGTGTTCAGCAAAACAGCTGGGCTCAGGGCTGAGAATTAGCATGAGGGAGCACTTGAGACTGCGTGTAAGCCTCAATGACAGTGTGGCCAAGGTCAAGTACATTCCCCTCCTTGAACGTCAATTTCTTCCCTTGTAGAACCTTCTCAAGGCTAAATTTCTGCTCTTGAGAAGGGAAGAGGTGGCCCTTTCCTTGATGCCCTACCTGCTGGCCAGTTGCAGGTGTGATGGTGGAGCCCCTGGTTCAGAGCAGGAAGAGAGTCTGAAGGTGGCAATGTAGCATCAGCCCTAACAACCCAGGTGCTGTTCACTCAAACTCCTTTTCCCAAAAGAAATGAATACATGAACATCAGTCTTGTTTAACTCACTGTTATAGGAAGTGCAGGTGGCCAGGTAGGTGTTTGTGTAAGGTAGCAGAATTGTCTGGAAGGTGAGAGTAGAGGACCAAAAGTTTTTCTCTGAGGTTGTTACCATTTGTCTTGGTGCCCTTTCACACAAAGCCAGGGTCAGAGAGTCAAGAACACCAGGCTCAAACCTGAAACAAGCACTTCCTGAAAGGACCCCAGGGAGACAGTCCTAGGGCAAAGTGACACTCGCATGCCTTCTGGGACGTGGAAGGCTACGTGGCTATAGAGTGTTATACAAAGCCCATAAATAGCAGCTGTAAACACAAACTCAGAACTGTCTTGAGGGAGATATTCTCCCACAAGACAGTGATACATTCCTTTCAGAAACTTTGGAAATGCGTAGGCAGGACCTCTCCTTGGCAGTAACTTTTGAGTGGGTGATTCTGTCTAGTGCTTATAAAAGCTACAGGAAAGTATATATTAAGGAATATCAGTTCCTCTTTTCTAGAAAACTAAAAGACAAACAGCCTGTTGCCATGGGCAACAGACTCACTTATTAGTGAGCCTTGGAGAGATGCTAAATGATGAAAGTCCTCAGGCTCACCAATGCCTGCCTTTTAGAGGCCAAGCTGGGGGACACAGGAGAATTGGTAGGGGAGGCTGCCCCCTTGTGGCAGAAGGAGGAGCAGACCCTGAGACTAAGGGGGCATGGCTGCCCAGTGAGCCCCTGGAATCCCTGTCCACACCCTGAACAGAAAGACTAGGCAATGAGGAGTGGCAAGGCCTTTAGGAAAGATGGGCGTACCTCTGTTGCTCTGGGTTAATGTCAAAGAGCCTCATGTCTCTCCTCTGTTTGGCAGTGAGGCCTTTGGATTTCTTCTGCTGCTGCTTTGGCTTCTGACAAGTATTCCAAGACCACAGCCTTGCGTTGCAGATGGCTCTCACAGTCTTGCTGGCTCCAGTGAGGGATGCTCTGCTTCAGGAAGGCCCTCACAAAGGCCTCAGGCCGCTGGCTTCCCAGCTCCTGCTCGGAGACAAGTGGTGTGGTTCACTGTTCTGCTCTCTGACTCCAGGGCCCTCAGACCCCGTTCCTGAGAGCCACCATTTTTGCTGATCTAGGCTACAAATTCCTTGTCTTCCAAGTGTTTGCTACACACAACTGCCAAGATGTAAAAGTAACACTCACATGCTAACTGTGACACTGTCCTATACTGCAGCCAGGTCAGTGACTTCCTGTCCTGTTTCTCTGAGGTTATTCTATTGAGCATTCAAAATCCTTTGTAACACAAGACTTCTCTAATCCTTGTGGGGAAGGAAGCTTGAGAAATGCATGATACAGGTTATTTAATAAGTCATGACCACAAGACTAGCTTGAAGTGGAAGGGAGCTGGGGTTGTTAGGGAAATGAGCCATTCCAGAACTAGGGGAAATTGCCTGGGGGTTCCAGGCAGGTCAAGGAGGAGGAAATCTGACAGTGAGCACCACAATCTTCTTTCCTTGCTTTTCAGCCTTGTGGACTCCATGTGGCTGCTGTTGGAGAGGTCTGGTCCAGTCCCCCTTGAGGCAGAAAGCATGAAGTGCATCTCAGGGACTACTCACTCCCATCCACAGGACTGTAATACCCTAGGCAAGAGAGGGTGAAACTACTTCACTGTTGCGCCCAGTCCTGAGACACTCTAGTTTCAGCACCTCACAAGTTGGGGCAGCAACAGTCTATTCTTCACTGGGCAGCAGGCACCTCACTTGGCCTTCATCTGCTGCAACCCGGGCAGTGCTCTTTCCTGAGAACCTACCTCTTGGCTGGGCCATTTGCTGGGCTCTTTTTGCACTAACCAGACAGTAAAAACAAATCTGAGGCTAACTGCCAGATTTAGGTTAACATCAACCTAAATCAACGGTTGCTGATCCCCTCTCTCTGATAAAGCAGGGGGCAAAAAGACAGAATACATAATCTTTGAGGGATGGCTAAACAATCCATCATCGATATCAGGACAATTTGGTTCTTTTAAACACATATGTGGTCTCTCTTTCATGGGGAAATAAAATCAAGGCCTTAAAAATCTTGATTTCAAGTATATTCTCTCTCTCTCTCTCTCTCTCTCTCTCTCTCTCTCTGTTTTTTCGAGACAGGGTTTCTCTGTATATCCCTGGCTGTCCTTGACCTCAGAGAACCATCTGCCTCTGCCTCCCAAGAACTGATTAAAGGTATGCGCCACACAGCCTGGTAGGACATGTGCTCTTTATGAGCCACAGGTGACACTTCTACCCAACTGACAAAGCATGCTGAAGCATCCAGATAGAATTTGTAACACTCACTTATGAAATGGCCTGAGCACTGAACACAGAAGCAAGAGCAAGACATGTTTGGAGTGGGAGATGACATGAAATCTAGGAGACCAAGTCCCTCAGAGCTGACTCTGGTATCCTAAGAAAGGAGCCTGGCACAAGAAGACATCAGCACAAAAGACCTTGATGGGGCCTAATATGCTGACTGTAAAGGTGAAGAGTAATCCACGGGAAAGGACAGCTAGACCAGTCTTAGAAGACATTGAACCATCTTTGCTCTCAAGTTTACCGCTCCCAGCCCACCTTTGAAAGACTGTACCTATACATCATGCTCCTTGGCTTCTTCATGAGAAAAGGCATGGTAAATCACAGCTGGGGGATGAAAGACAAAAATAGAAGATTACCTCCTGTTAGGAATGAGTGTAATATCCAAGGCTCTTCTAAGTATGACCTACACTTATTTAGAGACGGAATACTTGGTTAATATGAAAAGGCAAAGCTTTCTTGGATGATCCTTTTATTTTACTCTGTAGTGCTAGGGGATTAAACTCAGTGGGGTTTAATGCATGCCAGGCAAGTGCTTCACCATGGATCCATGTCCCTGGTCCTACTGAATGCTGCTTATTTACATATTTATTTAAAGACACAGTCTCACTTTGCTGACTTAGAATTTGCTACATAGACCACAATGGCCTTAAACCCCTAATACTCCTGTCTCAGGATTCCAAGTGCTAGTTCCTGGGATTACAGACATGTATCACCACAACTATCTTAGATACTTCTTAACTCTTCCCTCTGGCCAGATTTGTCCTAGAAATTCCCAGGATGAGGTTTAAAAAGAGTACCTCTCAGCCGGGCAGTGGTGGCCCACGCCTTTAATCCCAGCACTCGGGAAGCACAGATGGGTGGATCTCTCTGAGTTTGAGGCCAGCCTGATCTACAGAGCGAGATTCAGGACAGGCACCAAAGCTACACAGAGAAACTCTGTCTCAAAAAACCAAAAAAAAAAAAAAAAAAAAGAGTACCTCTCAAAGCTTTAATGTGTTTAAGAACCTCTGGAATCTTATTAAAACATGGAGTTTTAGTTCCTACTCTTCAAACTCTGAAGGTTCAAAAAATTCCTCATTGGAATCACATTTAGAGTAGTTCTGATTTAAAATACAAGTTATAATTATGCTGGGGCAGTTGTTCACTAAAGAATGAAGACAGTAAAACTGAGATGACATTAATGGTTAGGGGGTGGTTGGTTGAAACACATTTTGCTGACTACAAGAAGTTTAAAACAGATTTTTTTTTACTGTTTAGAATCTATAAAATTGGAACACATCCTGACAGATAAAATACAACAGTCTTTCTTCAAATTCTAAATATGACCAGCATGATGCCAAAATCTCTCTAAACCTCCATGCTTCTGTTTCTTATTTGTTCGGAGGAAACCATCATGGTGGCACTGGGGGGACAGAGTACAGTTGTAAATGTGGTAAGAAAGGGCAAATGACCAGAAAACGTAGCTCACACTACACTCTACACATTTAGTCCCTGAGATGAGTGTGGTAGCACACACAGTTGATCCCATCACTTCAGAGGGAGAGGCCAGCCTTGTTTACAGTCTGTTTCCAGCTCAGTCAGAACTATATAGCGGACCTTATCCCAACAGCAACAATAATAACAAAGAAAGAAACAAAAACCCACCTCTGTTCTCCTGTGCTTCCCTGAGTACATGTTTGACCAAGCAAACAAACCAAGGTAGTTACCAGTTTTACATACAGAATCTAGTTCTCTGTTGAACTGCAGATTGAGACTCTAGTTTGTTTATTGAGATTAATGTGCAGGGCCTGGGATCCTAGGAATAACTTTGTTTTACCTACCCCAGATGCCTAGCAACAGAGTTGGAAATCTTTCTGCAGCAGTACACATGTAATAGCTCTGGTACATTCACTGCTTGTCAAGTAGTTGATTTAAAACGACACAAATATACACTCATAGATGTGTGTATACATTTATTTTAATCTCATTAACTTTTCTAAACAATTTTAAATATAGTTATTCCTAGTTGAGCATGTAATAATAGTGAAGTTGAGATATTCCAAGGTACTTGAGCTCTGATAAAAGGACATGGCAGGAGTGTAAATCAGCAGATCAGAGGCTTAATCTTTTTAAGATTTATTTATTTATTATGTATATAGCATGTATGACTGCACATCAGAAGAGGGCACCAGATCTCATTATAGATGGTTGTGAGCCACCATGTGGTTGCTGGGAATTGAACTCAGGACCTCTGGAAGAGGTCCTAACCTTAACCTCTGAGCCATCTCTCCAGCCCAGAGGCTTAATCTTTACAGTATCCCCTCTCCCTCTAATACTGCTCCAGTGCTTGCTTCCATTCCTGGCACATCTCTTTTCTGCTCAAATACCAACAACTTAGGTTTGTGAGACTGCGCCTAAGAAGGTTTCTACATGACAAAGGGTGAAAAGCCAGGTGGTAGACGGGAGCAGGTCCTGTCAGCAGTTATCTGCGCAGGTAGTGTGGCTAAGTCCCGCCAAGGTCTTGGATCCACCTCTTCTAGGGCCCCTGAGCAGCCCTAGCTCCCCAGGGGAGAACACACTCGATCTTCACATCTATTCCTAGCTTAGAGACTGTGTCCGGCCAGTTCACACTCTGCGCCTCGATTTCTTTTGTGTACTATGAGTCAATAGTACACAGTTTCCCTGGAAACTGTCTTGGGACTCTGTTGCGACAGGTATCCCTGATTCAGCTTCCTGTTCCAGACCCTCTATACTGTCATCCCGGCCCAATTTCGTGTCTCTCATCCAGCTTACCCTTCATTGTTGGACGCTTCCGGAGCGCTTTGATGACGTTTCCTTCAGGTCTCACTCTTTCCCTTTCTTCGCTTTGTTCAGCAGCTTTCAGCCACCAGGACTCTTTCTTGTTTACATTTCCGCTGGAAAAATTCGCTGTGCCCAAGAAACAACATAGGCACAGTACAATAACAGACTTGCTCCAGGCGGCATCAATGGATGCGACCAGATTTCGGACACGGCGCCTTGCGTGACGCCATCGAAGCGTGACGGGCTCTGGTGGTGCTTGCGCCTCGGGTTTAGCTCTGCTGCCGAGGGAGGGGCTAGCTAAACTGCCGGTTCTGTCGCGGGTGGAGTCTGTTATGGCTCTCCTGGCCGAACAGGAGAATCCAGTTGCGGGTCAGGATTAATGAAGTGTAGTGAGGCAAGCTGTCATGGAGAGGATGCGAGGGAGATTGGGACTACGGAGGGCAGAAATGGGCTTGAAGTAGTGAACATAATGGATGTAGTGGGGTATTAGGATTTCTTTTGATTTTTTTTTTGTTTTTTGAGACAGGGTTTTCTTTGTAACAGCCCTGGCTATCCTGGAACTCACTCTGTAGACCAGGTGGCCTCAAACTCAGAGATCCGCCTGCCTTTGCCCACTGTGTGCTGGATTATTCTTCCCCCTCTCCCTCCAGGGGACTCGTGTCCCTGGCTGGCCTAGAATTCACTCCTAAGTTTACTAGTTACCTTTTGTAATGGTGGCCGGGGATTTGCTTCTATTTAAGCTACTATGTAATTTTTATGACCTCGTTTAAGGGTCTCTTTCCTATCAGTAAAATAGAGTAGCTTTAGCTGGCTTTGGGCTTTTTTGATTTTATTTTTTCCTTCCGAAGACAAAGTCTCCCTGTGTAACCCAGACACTTGCTACATAGTCTAGGCTGAGCTCCTAAGTATAATCAATATTCCTGCTTCAGCTTCTGGAGCATTTAGATTTCTCTTACTGAATCCAACCCAGAAAGCATTCTTGAGACTTGGAGCATTAGTTTCTGTCAATATGATAAAAGACAAAAAGTGATTCTCGTGGCTGCAGATCTGGGACACAAAGGCTCAGCCCAGGCCTTCTCAGCCGGCGTGGGTTCTGTCCAGACACCGCCCTTAATTTCTGATGAGTGCTGGATCTAACTTGGATGGTGGGTGAGAGAAAGCAGAATTATGGTCCCTGTGCTCTCTTTAGTCAGTGATTTTTTAATATTGAGTACTGTGCGACCTCCTTTTAAAGAGGGAAAAGAAGTTTCAGAGAAACTTGGGCAAAGAGCACCACATTCTTGTTTAAGAAACATAGGCTTTATATGTCTTTGGGTGATACCTGTGTGCCATTTTGATCTTTAGCAGTACAGGCCATGGTAAGTCACATATGCTTTAGACTTTGAGGTCAGCCTGACAACAACAGGATGGACACCAAATGTGTTGCATTTGCAAAGGCCTGACACTAGTTTAGCATGTATAAGACTGTGTGTGAGAAAGTGCCCTTGGGGACTCATAAATGTGAACTCAATAATGAACACTTGATTTCTTTTTTGAGATAGGCTTCCCTTTGTAGGCCTGGCTGTTCTGGAACTGGCTATGTAGATCAAACTGGCCACAAACTCACAGAGATCCACCTGCCTCTGTCTTAAAAGTGCTGGGATTAAAACATTGTAAAAGATTACTTGACAGAAATTGCATATATTTATGCATTTAAAATAACACTTTGAAATTTGTATGTTGTGAAATGGCTAAATCAGTCTAATTAACTCAATAACCTCATATAATTGTTTTTTTGTGAGACCTTTAATATTTTAGTGATTTTTTTCCAAGTATATGCTGCTACTATAGTAACTATGACATACATTAGATTATTATATATAAACTTTTGGTCTTCTTTAAAAAGTTATTTAATTAATGAATTTATTTATTTATTTTTAATGCTTAGGATCAACCCAGGACCTAACTTATGCTCTGTATCACTGAGCTATTCCTCCTTCACAATTATGAACTTAGATAAGCATAAGACAATAGTGGTAGAACACTTGCTTTGTACATTGAGGCTCTGAGTTTGATTCACAGAGTAGCAGGTGGTGGGGGTGGGGTTAGACAACTGAAAATATAGGAGTCTTTTTGTGGGTTGAAGATTCAAAAGTAGCATGGCTTCTGTGCCTATAGCGACAGAGGCAAAGGCCAGCCTCTCTCAGGTAATTAGGAGTCTGTCATTTTGAAAAGAATGATTTTTATTTTATGAGTGGTTTTTCTTTTTGGTTTTCTGAGACAGAGTTTCTCTGTGTAACAACCCTAGCTGTCCTGGAACTTACTTTGTAGACCAGGCTGGTCTCCAACACACAGAGATCATCCTGCCTACCTCTTGAGTACTGGGATTAAAGGCATGTTCTACCATGCCCAGCTCTGTTATAGTGTTTTGACTGCATGTAAGTATGTGCATTGTGTGTGTGTGGCTGGTGCCTGCAGAGGCCAGAAGAGGGTGCCAGATTCTCTGGAACTGGACTTACAGAGATGGTTGTAAGCCTTCATGTGTTCAATGTGTGTATTGAACCCTGATCCTCGGCAAGAGTAGCAGGTGCTCTTAGCTACTGAGCCCTCTTTCTAGCCCAGTTATTAGGAATCTCTTAATGAATCCTTTTCAAATAGCAAGCATAGCTTTGGATATCTGACAGTGTTCCCTGTGATTCTCAGATTACAGTAGGGTGGTGTGTTCCCCAGAGCAAATGTGACCAGTGCCTGCTTACTAAAATATTTATTTTTTAAGGAGATCTGCCCCCCTTTATCATCTTCAGAAAACAGTGTATGAAGAGAGATACCTATTAGAGTTTTTGTGATTATTATTTATGATAGCAAAGTACTCAGAACAATATTTGACAGGGATGAACTGAGAAAATGAAGTATATGCTGATTTATTTAGTAAATAAAGTTTATCACATGGGCGATAGAGTGCACACCTATAACTCCAGCCCTCAGAAAGCTGGGCCAGGAGGATAGAGAGTTTGAGGTCCTCTTAGGATACATAGTGAGACCCTGTCTGAGAAAGCAAACAAATTAAAGGTTTCAAAATTTCTGATTTCTAGGCATCTCTTAGAGTTACCTAGCAAATGAGTACCTAGAATCTATGTTTTTAAAAACGATTTTAAAAGTGTGTATGTATCTGTGTGTGGGCCTGTGCTGCTGCATGCACACACATCAAAGTGTGTGTATACATGTGCATGTCTGTGTGTGCACTATGCATGTGCCAGTAGCCACAGAGGCCAGAAGAAAATTCCACTGGATCTTGATTTACATGTGGTTTGGAGCCACCCAATGTGGGTTCTGGGACCTCTGGAAAAGGAGTAATTGTTCTTAACCCCTGAGCCATCTCCCCAGCTTCCAGAATTTGTATTTTTACAGAGTGTTCTCAAGTGAGGGTTTTTTTTTTGAGACAGGGTTTCTCTGTGTAGTTTTCTTACCTGCCCTGGATCTTGCTCTGTAGACCAGGCTGGCCTTGAACTCACAGAGATCTGCCTGGCTCTGCCTCCCAAGTGCTGGGATTAAAGGTGTGCACCACTGCCACCTGGCAAGTAAGGTTTTCTTATATTCAGGTATTTAGTAGGGTCTCATTATAGGTTAGATAGTCACAATTTTTAGAATGGTTATAGAAATATTAGTAAATAAAAACAAATCTGTACAGAAAAATTATACAAATACATTGGAAGGTTTTATAAAGGAAACTGTTTTGCTTATTTAAAAAATTCATTTTATGAAAGTGACATCTTAATTTTTTTCCCTTTGTAGCAATGAATGGTAAACTTTGCATCATGGATGTTCATGCATTTTCTCATGGGTGAATCTATGAAAATTCTGTGAGAATTTGAGGTTCAATGGCATGATGGTGACTCCACCCACCTCCAACAACTTACTATGGAAAACTTGAAGTAGGATTGGTGAGATGGCTCAGCAGGTAAAAGTATTTGCCATCTGAATCTGACCACCTGAATTCCATCACCAAATTCCACCAGGACAGAAAAGGACTGACTCCAGAAAGTTGACCTCTGACCTCCCCACACATGCTGCGTGTGTACCACACTCACGTACACCTACTCCAGTCAGTACCAGTATACTTCTATTGTTGACATCTTGCTACATTTGTGCAGATTATGTTGGCTTGCTGTCTTAAGACCTTCAGGCTGTTGTATCAAAGACAGGAGAAGCACATTTTCATACAGAGACTCAAGAAAAACTTCAGTTATTAAACACATGAATATTTGAAGATCAGACCATAAATTGGATTACTTTCTTTTTCTCCTTATTTTATTATTGTTTTTTTCATCTCTGTGCATTGGTGTTTTCCCTGCTTGTATATCTATATGAGTGTGTCAGGTACCTGGAACTGGAGCTACAGACAATTGTTAGCTGCCATGTAAGTACAGAGAATTGAACCTCTGGAAGAACAGCCAGTGCTCTTAACCACTGTGCCATCTCTCCAGCCTCCCTTTTTCTATTACAGTTATTATGTGTGTCTGCGTGTGTTGGCATGTGTGTGCCACAGCATGTATGATGGTCTAAGAAGAGCTGAAGGAATCAGTTCTCATGCTGCACTCTATGTGTCCCTGAAACTGAAGTCCTGTCATCAGGCTTAGCAGCCAGCACATTTACCCACTGTCTTAGTTAGGGTTTCAACTGCTGTGATGAAACACTATGACCAAAAGCAACTTGGGGAGGAAAGGGTCTATTTCTCTTATATATCCCCAGTCACAGTCCATTGAGGGAAGTCAAGGCAGGAACCCAAACTGAGAAGGAATCTGGAGGCAGGAGCTGATGCACAGGCCATGGAGGAATGATGTTTACTGACTTACCCCTCATTGCTTGTTCAACCTGTTTTCTTACAGAACCTGGGACCACCAGCCCAGGTGGCACCAGCCACAATGGGCTGGGCCCTCCCACATCAATCCCTAATTAAGAAAGTTCCTTGTAGGTTTGCCTACAGCCTGACTTTCTGGAGGCATTTTCTCAGTCAAAACCTCCATTTTGCCTGCTCTCAGGTGACTTTAACTTGTGTCAAGTTGACACAAAACTAGACAGCACATCCACAGAACCATCTTGTCAGCCCCTTAGTTTACTTCTTGCTGCTGTTGACACTATACGTACAGAAACAAGGGTGGAAAGGTTAACTTTGGCTCAGGGTCAGTGATCTGCAGTCTATCACAGCAGGGTGGGCATGGTGCAGTGGCTCAGTCCATGGCTGCAGAAGTGTGTGGCAGTGCTACTCATGTCATGGCTGACCAGGACAAGCAGAATGACCAGAACTATGTCTGGGCTGTAACCTTAAAGGCCACTCCTAATTATCTACTTCTGCCAGGAAGATGGGCTTCCTGAAGGTTCCATCGCATTCCCAAATAGTGTCACCAGCTGGGGAACAAGTGGTCAAAACATGAGCCTCTGG